TATTCTCATGAATATTAAACACAACAACCTCTGAACATTACAAATATTCACCTCAATTCAACCTGGAACCTCTCTCATACAATAATACTGTGTGTGTGTGTGTGTGTGTTGGTGTGTGTGTGTGTGTGTGTGTGTGTGTGTGTGTGTGTGTGTGTGTGTGTGTGTGTGTGTGTGTGTGTGTGTGATAGAGTGTGATAGAGTGTGAGTGTGTGTGTGTGGAGACACTGATGGATCGTTGGAGCTATGTGCAGCTCAAGGCATATATGCTCGAATGGGAGCTGCCTGGACGCTGCAATCATGTTGCGCACACTATCCGTGCTGAGTGTGCTGACTTTTTGTACAATGTCCCACTGTCTGGCTACCTGCATAAAGTCAAGTGCTCGGCGCAGTTGTCGGCGAAATGTCATTGAAACAGCTCCTTATATCCGTCAGCGCAGCTAGCTAGCACCAGATGCTAACAACAACAACACGTAAGGTGTGCCTCGCTCGCGCGAGTCGCGCCACACATACACACTCCTTCCCGGTCCTCCCGATGGCCAGTCCGGGCCTGCCAGTGAGCGTGGTAGTGTGGTCTGCCACAAGCGGGTGGCAGGAGCGGGGCTGTCAGCATCAGCTTGTCGATGGTATTTTACACTCAATGCGCTCTGAAACTACGGCGGCCGAGGACAAAAAATACACATGCGTTAATCGCGTTAAAATAATTAGTGGCGTTAATTTTTTTTTTGCGTTAACGCGTTATTAACGCGTTAACTTGACAGCCCTAATATATATATATATATATATATATATATACAACAACAACAACAAAAATGTCTCTCCCTGGAAGCGTGCCATCTTTTGCTTCAAAATTTGGACAGTTTTGGGTTCGCCTGAACTTCACAGGCTCAGGAGAACCCCCTAGTCGTGAATATGTTGGAGAATCACTGTTATTTGATACCTGCTGGATCAATACAAATGATGTATATTCCTTCATAGCACTGCCAAACAGAAAGGAGTTTGAACTCTGCTTTTTGCTAGAAACTCCACTGAGACGTTTCCTTGACGTTCTCACAACTAAATCCTCAGATCCCAAGTGGAAAGACTGGACTTTCGAATCTTCCATTCAAATGGACATCTCAAACATCATTGTTAAATTCTGGACTGGCCGTATTCCAGACCATGATGTTGAGACCTATTTGAAGAGATATGGAAATATAATCAGCAAATACAAACCAGTAGATACATTTGGGATATGGTATGGAGTGAGAAAATACAAAATTAAGATGAATCGAAACAGTGATGGTGAGATCCAAAATCTCCCAAATTCGATATCTCTCGGCCCCTATAATGGCAGAATAATTTATCCAGGGCAATCCGTCACCTGTTTCATCTGCAACTCAGCTGACCATCAGGTCAGAAAATGCACCACAGTGAAATGTTGGAGATGCAATGAACTGGGCCACAAGGCTAAAGATTGCAATTCAGACAGTCTCTGCAACCTGTGTGGAAAGATTGGACACAACTTCTTCAACTGCTCATCTTCTTATGTAAACAAGGCAAAAACCCAGCAGCAGCCTCGTCCTACAGCCCAAAAGCAGCCTGGCCCTCCTTCAGTTACCCAGCATCAGCCTGGTCCTCCTTCAGTCACCCAGCAGCAGCCCCGCCCTGCAGCCCAGCAGCAGCCCGGTCCTGGTCCTTCAGCCCAGCAGCCCGGACCCGGTCCTCGACCTGCAGCCCAGCAGCAGCCCGGTCCCGGTCCTTCAGCCCATCAGCCCGGTCCCGGCCCTCGACCTGCAGCCCAGCAGCAGCCTGGTCCTCGTCCTTCAGCCCAGCAGCCCGGTCCCGGTCCTGGTCCTTCAGCCCAGCAGCAGCCTGGTCCTGGTCCTCGTACTTCAGCCCAGCAGCCCGGTCCCGGTCCTGGTCCTTCAGCCCAGCAGCAGCCTAGTCCTGGTCCTCGTCCTTCAGCCCAGCAGCCCGGTCCCGGTCCCGGTCCTTCAGCCCAGCAGCAGCCTGGTCCTGGTCCTCGTCCTTCAGCCCAGCAGCCCGGTCCCGGTCCCGGTCCTTCAGCCCAGCAGCAGCCTGGTCCTGGTCCTCGTCCTTCAGCCCAGCAGCAGCCTGATCGTCGTCCTGCCAGCAAGGATGTCCCTCTCCCTGATGATCAACAGCCTTCATCTCCTGAAGACGACTCTCCACCCCTGTCAGGTGAGGGCAGACTGACCATTGACAGTGATGTGGAGAGTGAGTGCAGCTCTGACAGTGAGATTGAAGATGATAAATACTATGAGAGTGTGAGCGAAAGCCCAGGATCTGACTCTAGCCCTGACAGCCTTACAGCTGGTCAGCGAGTCAGCATGCCCCTCTACTCGCCCCCTGAGAGTCACTCGGGGTCTTTTTCTCCGACTCCGGATTATCCAGACCCCCCGAGTGAGGCTCAGAGGGAGGCCCCGTTTGAGGTCTCTAAAAAAAAGAGACCTGCAAGCAGAAACTTGAACGAAATAGAAAACGGGCTAATTTAGAGACAATATAAAACCAACATGAGCTTCATAAACGTCGCTACTTGGAATGTACGTGGTATTCAGTCTAAGAACTTTCGAGAGAGGAAAATGAAATATTTATTGGACACTAACTATGATTTCCTCTTTACGCAGGAACTTAGACTGAATACCACCGGGGATGTTGACGATGTATGTAAAATGTGGCACAAAGGAGAATGTCTTATCTCCATCGGAGATAGCAGAGCTGATGGAGTTGGCATTTTCTTCAAGGAAAGGGACATTACTATTATTAGAAGAAGGGACATAATTCCAGGAAGGCTGCTTATGGTGGATTGTTTTTATAAAAATGAAAAATATCGACTTATTAATATTTATACTGCCCCTGACGCAACAAATAAGTTACAAATATACAAATACGCCCCTTAAGTACACATTTACTGACACAAACATTTGTATCATCTGTTGTAGACCCAAATACATTAAATAAGAACTCATTCTCAAAAAAGATAAACGCCATTCTTAAAATGTATAAACGAACAATAGTTAGATTAATATTGATTAGAGTGCACAATAGAAATAAAATAATTGAGAGAAGAAAGAGAGATATGTTATCTATCAAAACCCAGTTAGATTAACATTCATTGGATTGCACACTTTGTCTGTTTGTGTGGATATGTAGCACATTAACATGTTAAATAGCACTTAATGACTGACTGAATGGAAATGACAATAAATGAAATGTAAAACGAAAAAAGCGATCATGAAAATGTTTCCAATAAATGAATAAAATGATTTTTTGAGCACTTTGTTGTTCAGATATATCACATATTTGTAACTGAATGATGCATTCATTGAAACAGAACACGGTATGAACTGAGGAGTGAGTCCCGTGAGTTTCATGTGTTTTCTTCACTCCGCTGGGAAACTGCTCTCATGTCAAGAAGCATCAGATCATTGCATGCGCTGCATCGTCCAATCAGTGAGCGATACACAATAAGGGGGCGGGGCGAGTCTCTGAGGATTTCATCGAAGGATGGTCTGGTAGTTCCTCGATTATAGCTCCTCCATTATCGCTCCTCGCTCCTCAGTCCTCGGTGTCACTACCCGATCCGTTCACCTGCCCGATCGGTACTGCGCATGTGCGAGATGGTCCGCCATATTGGACAACTACATACGGCAACTCTAATAGGACATTTGACACAGTGGCTTTTGGCAAAGCAGAAAAAGAACTGATAGAGATGAGTTATTGTTATTACAACGTGACTTCACTATTATTTAACAACTCTTTATTGGGTTCTTTTATTTGGGGTTAAGTACATTGTCAGAATAAGTGAGAAATGGATTTAACTTCTGTTAGACAGCTATATGCCATACATTTTTGCATACATTCACAGTAAATATTTATTCAGTATGATAGCTGTCTAACAGAAGTTAAATCCATGTCTCAATTACTCTGACAAAAAAAAAGAGTTGTTAAATAATAGTGAAGTCACGTTGTAATAACAATAATCTCTCTCGGTTTCTTTTTCTGCTTTGCCAAAAGTCACTGTGTCAAGTGTCCTATTAGAGTTGCCGTATGTAGTTGTCCAATATGGCGGACCATCTCGCACATGCGCAGTACCGATCGGGCAGGTGAACGGATCGGGTAGTGACACTCGGTCCTCCGGCAAAAATAAGGCCATTGGGACGCTACTCAAGATGGCGCAGACAAATCAACTTCCGGTGAGACCGAGACCGAGGAGCGAGGAAATGAAAAATAAGAGAAGTGAAACGCAGCCAATGTCTGATGTTCATGACGACTTATATATTTACTTTTAATTGATTCACAGTGCGGTATAATGAGACAATAACAGGCTACAGATGCGGACATATACACACATATATATATTTGGTTCCCAGTTCCATATAAACAAAAACATGTTTACATCTCACCCAAACCTGACAGCAGAAGAAAGACTCCTACTATTATGGTTTATTGTACAAACTTGTTGTATACTATCTTCCACGACAACAGCATTCTCTGGTGGTCACAATTTCACATTATCTTAATGCAGGGGTGCCTTAACTACAACCCTGGGACAAACATTTCTTACGGTCATTATTTGTTTCTTGTTCAATTAGCTTTTCTGCTTTTTTTACTAGTTTTATTATTACTATGATTATTATATTTAATATTTTGCAACTCTGGCACCCGATTTCCTTGGGGATAAATAAAGTATTTTCTCCATATTGCTGCTTTTGCTTTTGATGTTGTTATTTTTTCTTTATTGAATATCATATATTCTACACACAACAAAGTCCACGGGCAGACAAACAAAGCAACAAGACATTACATACTTTTTATTTTGAATAAAGAGGAGGCTCTGTGACATATAAGGAAACGTACCCTAAGCTTTCCACCCATTGGACGATGAGAGATACGCACCCTAAGCTTTCTACCGATTGGACGATGAGAGATACGCTCAAGACGGCCAATCAACAAGCAGCTTGGTATATATATATTGTCGGTCTTGGCAAACAGTGACATATTTCTTCTGCAACGTAATCAAGAAAACCAATCCAGAATGTCAGGTCGAGGCAAAACCGGCGGAAAGGCCAGAGCAAAGGCCAAGACCCGCTCTTCCCGTGCCGGGCTCCAGTTCCCTGTCGGCCGTGTCCACAGACATCTGAGGAAGGGTAACTATGCTCATCGCGTCGGAGCCGGAGCCCCTGTCTATCTGGCGGCTGTGCTGGAGTACCTGACCGCTGAGATCCTGGAGCTGGCTGGAAACGCTGCCCGCGACAACAAGAAGACCCGTATCATCCCCCGTCACCTGCAGCTGGCTGTCCGCAACGACGAGGAGCTCAACAAGCTGCTGGGAGGAGTGACCATCGCTCAGGGCGGTGTGCTGCCCAACATCCAGGCTGTGCTTTCTGCCCAAGAAGACCCGAGAAGGCCCGCCAAGAAGTAAACTACTCTACTCATTAAGAACAAACCAACGGCTCTTTTAAGAGCCACACAAACCTCCTTAAAGAGTGCTTCCTGCCTATCTTTTAGTCTCTTGTAGAGTCGTGCATCTTCCTAGTTACCGCAGTGACTGGCCAGTAGTGGACAAGGGGAACATTGTATTAGTGTTTACGATTGCAAACTGCAAACATCTTTCCTAGCTACCGGTGTTGCATGATTGACAACTGGCGGAATCCCATTATTCTCGTCACAGGAATCCGGGGCGTGTACATTGAGGACCCATTGTGGACTTACCAGGAAATAAACATGTCGATCGCCTCGTTTGTCGTTTACATTCATCTTTTGCTGTCTGCCTTCCTAAGATCACTTTGATGCACATTCACTACTCGTATGTGAGGTTGTGGGTGAGAGGTCGATATCGTGACGCTTACAGGGAGGTATCGAACATTACAAAGTAGGTGACTGTGGATGCCTGTTCAAAACATTGCAAACTTGAATAAATCATTTAAATTATATATGTGTGTCCGACTTTCATTTGTACATCGTTCTTAATGTGATGTATAGTAGCTTTGATAGCTGTCCACACCTTCACAATAATAAAAATGCTTACATGGCATGTCCTTTGTTAAACATTAAGCTGTCTTTGGCTCTTTTCTGCTGTAACAAATGTAAATTTCCCCTCTGGGACGAATAAAGGTATTCTGATTCTGATTACATTTAACCTGTTGTGGGAACATTTCTTGATCAAATTGTTTTTAATTTCAAACCTTTATTTAACCAGATGGTCCCAGATCATAGATCTCTTTTTCAAGGGAGACCTGCAGCATATAGGTTCCACATGAAACATAAAACAATAAAGGACATCATACATTATATTTACAGGATACATTTACATAGTTATAGACATTTACAAGTACCCATAGTATCAACGAGCATTTCATTTAGCCTAGCTTTAAAAACATGCAGAGGAATGAGACAATGTTATGAATGTTATGAAACAAATGAGACAAATATCGCTGTGACACTGATGTCACATCGGGACCTTAACCCTAAACATTCACAGTAAACCCGGAGTGACATATGCACAATTAGAAATATTATTATGATCTGCTCGGTTAATTTAGTTAATATATTCGTTATTATTCAATTCAAAGTATGTTCAAACAAATGTAAACCAAAAAATCTTCCTCATTAATTTAGTTATAAATAAGAGTTAATTTACCATTAAAGCTCAATGTGACATATATGTCACATTTCAGATATGTGACACTGTGATTTCTTGTCAGAAATGTGTTCTAGTGGTCTATTTAGTCTAAATGACGTTCCCCTTTATTTTCCCAAAAGTAGAAATGGGTCCGGATTCTTATGGGTTAAACGTATCACTTAAAGGCATAATAGAACTACCGTAATGTATTGAACTTGTGCCCCGCTGGACTTACTTGTGGAGAATAGCCACAGAATTGATATCACAATTTAATCGGAGCTGATCACAACTTGTCACAGAAGATCCAGTCACCTCGATGCTGCTTTCGGGCTATGAATAAACAACTTGTGTTTTACTTTGAGGATGTTTGAAGGTGTAGACAGCTATCAAAGCTACTATACATCACATTAAGAACGATGTACAAATGAAAGTCGGACACAAATATATAATTTAAATGATTTATTCAAGTTTGCAATGTTTTGAACCAGGCATCCACACAGTCACCTACTTTGTAATTCCGATACTTCCCTGTAAGCGTCACGATATCGACCTCTCACCCACAACATCACATACGAGTAGTGAATGTGCATCAAAGTGATCTTAGGAAGGCAGATATAGCAAAAGATGAATGTAAACGACAAACGATGCGATCGACACCTACATTCCTGGTAGGTCCACAATGTACACGCCCCGGATTCCTGTGACAAGTTACACAGTGACTGACCAATAGTGGACAAGGGGAACATTGTATTAGTGTTTATGATTGCAAACTTAATTATAGAGCTTAAGTTGATTTAATGCTGAATATTAACGGACACGATTCAAAGTGTTAATGAGATGTTAAGGAAACAAGTCCCATACTAAATGAACAATTGTGCATGACTATCGAACTAAACAATGTCTAAATGAGTCATTATCCCCAACCATGTAACTTTGTTATTACTAAACTAATAATTCATAGTTGTGTTTATTGTACAGCCAATATCAAAATATAGAGGAATGAGCACGTTAGTGAAGAGTGAGGTGGCTCTTAAAAGAGCCTTTGGGTTTCTAGAGCTGGCTTTGGGTCAGTCTAAGCTCTCTCTCCGCGGATGCGGCGGGGCCAGCTGGATGTCTTTGGGCATGATGGTGACCCCTCTTGGCGTGGATGGCGCACAGGTTGGTGTCCTCGAAAAGGCCGACCAGGTAAGCCTCGCTGGACTCCTGCAGAGCCATGACAGCGGAGCTCTGGAAGCGCAGGTCGGTCTTGAAGTCCTGAGCGATTTCTCTCACCAGGCGCCTGGAAGGGCAGCTTGCGGATCAGCAGCTCCGTGGATTTCTGGTAGCGACGGATCTCTCTCAGAGCCACGGTACCGGGCCTGTAACGGTGAGAGGCTTCTTCACCTCCGCCGGTGGCCGGGGCGCTCTTACGAGCTGCCTTGGTGGCCAGCTGCTTTCCTGGGGGCTTTGCCTCCGGTGGACTTACGGGCGGTCTGCTTGGTTCTTGCCATTGTAGTTCCTCTGTGTTCACAGTTCAAGACAGTATAACCCTCGCCGAGAACAGCGGCTTTATAAAGGAACTGCCGGAGTCAGGTCAGCGCTGATTGGCCCAGGGAAGATGACACGTGCGCTGTAGCTTATCAACTATTCGACAAAAGTCATTTGGAAAAACGAAACCTCTTCTCAACAGAAGCTGCAACCGCCAAAAATCCGAGTGAAGAAAGAAAGCAGCCCTGCCCTAAAGGCCTCTGATTGAATACCTTTGTTTAGTTTAAAGTGAGACTAAAAAAAGATAGCAGATTGTTTTTGTACTCTCTGTAAATAATAAACTAGTATTTGTTTCATGAGCCTTTAGAGGGGATATTAAAAAAAAAAACTGTTTAAAAGCCTCACTGTTTATTTGTACTTATGAGTAGAAAGGTTAAAAATAGGTATTCTGTCAAAAATACATCACAATGTAGCATAGTCGAGTTAACCATAACTCTCAGTCAGAGTTAACCATAACTCTGACTATGCTACATTGTTCTGAAAGGCAAATCTCCCCTAGAAAAAAGTTTAACAAACAAAAAAGTTTATAAATTAATTTACACACTAAAAGTGTTACCTTAAAACACACCAATAACATTCAGAAATCATATTGAATTAACTGAGAAAAAAGTGCAGAAACTAAAGCTTTCAAGTGACTAAGAAGTTATAAGGTTGAATGGGTTTTCCTTGTGTTTTTAAATACCAGTTAATTGGATACCTGATACAAGCGAAATCTACATGAAGCAGAATATATTTGGATATGTAGGGCATCTTTCTTACCAACGGCAGATAACTCATTTCTCCAGTAGCTGTTTGTCTGCTCGTCCAGGCTACAATGCTGCTCTCCCCAAGCAGACTTCAGTAAAGTGAGGTGGGAATCTGAAATCGGTCACTCAACAATATGTTGTTACTGTATGCTTATTAAAGAACATTTGAGCTTTAGACATTTACAAGTGGGCAAGTATGAAATATTAAATTAAATACTTTAAAAGTGTGTCAACCACTGATTTATTTTAAGCGAATGTACTCATCCTAACAGTCCAGCTTTTGTTCAGGGTTTAAGGACTCATTCTTGCCCACTTTAGCATGGATGTGAGTAATTGTGGAAAATAGAAACTGCAAAGGGGGCACCAGCGTTTGTACTGTCTTAGGAAAACTGTCCTATTTTAACATTGTGCTTTTATCGAGTCAATTCTTGTCTTTTTCATTATTGTCATGGTTTGGTAACCTGACTTTAAAAGAGCAGAAACTCTCTGAGTCAGATCGTAAAGGGGTCCAGCAGACTGATTGGTGAGCCACAGCTACACCTGGAGACCCTGGCTGTACCTCAGGCAGTTACAGCGGTTATCCAGCTCCATATTAGACGATGACTCCCACCCCATGCACCTCAGAATTTAAGCTTCTTCCTTCGGGGCCGGGGGTTAGTTGTCCCAAAGAGTACGAAGCGGTAAAAAAACAGATTTTATTCCCAGCAGCTATTGGCAACAAATTAAAGACATCACAGGAGTGTCACATCAGATGCCTATTTTTGATTGAATTATGAATTTGAATGTCCATGTTTGTACTAGTGTTTTCCTTCTTAAATGTTTTTGAAATATTTTGAGATTTGACGGGAGCAGGGTGTACTTGTACTTTTTTTACTAGTCCTTTTATTAGAGATGTGTCTGTTGTTTGTGTTTGTGTTTAGAGTGTGTCAGGATGGATCCCCTTGTCTTTTCTCTGCAAACAAAATCTACCTACGGGTACAAATAAAGAACCTGAACCGGAAACCTGATAGCTGTTTTGTGTGAAACCAAATGTTGAGTTGTTTTTATACTGACAACTTCATGTAGTATCATTTAAAAGGGTCATGTAAAACTCGTGCCTACATCACTCAGTCAGATGGCAATACATCAAAATGTTTCGTATATTAATTCAAATTCGGCATTGTGAGTTTCTGGTATAGCCTTATAAGAGTTAGGATTTTTCAACATATTTTCTAAAACTTAATTTTGGTACAGAAACATAGATCATTAATTTGTCTTTTTCTTTGCTCCAAAAAGTACAAGTGGGTCAAGTTGTTACATCAAGTGTTTCACTGTGGAGAGGATCTTGATTATTTTAAGAAGAAATCTGCTCACATCAGATGTCTTGAGGTTTCCGTTACCATACAACTTAATATGTACTTATAAATAAACCTAAAACTGTTGATGATATTCTTCCATCTGTTGTCAATTACACAGTCAGCACTGTTCGATATACAAACACATCTGAGTTCTATATTTAACTGAAAAGAGGACATTTCCAATATATGCGGTGCACATTTCTGTTTAACTTTCAAACACACATGTTAAAGGATAAAAGGAATTGAGGTGGAAAACATTGAAGGAAAGGCCAATACTGTACAACGGTATTGGAAGAGGATGGATTATTTAGAATTGTCGGAGAAGGGTAAAGGATGAGAGATTATATGCAGGGGCTGCTTTTGCAGACTGACAGCTGTTAATGTATTTATATATGTTTAATTATTATAAAAATTGTCTGCATATAAAATAAATTACTTTTCAGAACAAAGCAATCCATGCGACATTTAAATTAAATAATTGAAGATTGGACACTGGTATAATAATATTCAAGTTTTCAACAGTTAGGAGATAATAGCATTAATCTGTGTATGAATGTGTGAATGAGACTGTAGTGTGTAATGTGCTGTGTGTGCTGTGGGCTGGTTATAGCGCTAACTACACTTCTGGACTTGTACTTATTCAACAATACTGTCACTGTTAATAGGATTGCGCCTTAAGTATAATAACCATGACATTATTT